TTTTATCGAACAATTAAAATTGATGGTTCGACGCGAAAACACGAGTTTCACGCGGTTAATAATTTTGAGATCGACAATCGTAGAAAGCGCGCGCGTGAAAGGCTCCTAAAGACGTCGAGCCATTTGTGACCGTGGCCGGCTAACGAAAAATCTCGAAGCGAAACAAAACTTAATCGAGAACTCGAATTATCGAAATTGAAAATTTACGAAAAGTTCGAATCCAAAAAAAAAAATTATAATAATTCGAAGGATCCGATTAATATCTATTCTCACTTGGAACAGTGTCATCCTGCGTGTACCCCTCGATCCTCGATCCGACTACCGTGCTCGATGATATCCAGTCAAACACCTCATTTCCCCGGGAACTTCGAGGGGGAACGAATTACGCTCGCGTCTCTCGATGTAACAAGTCATGTGCCGAACCGAGCACAACCACCGAGACTTCTTCTCCGCCCGACCGAGACCGAGAGACGATCGATCGAACGAGCCACAGGGAGCCCGCCAACTTACTTCGCTATATAAAAGCGCGCGATCTAGTCCCGCGAAAGTCTCCCCCACCGATGCCACCGCCCCTCCAATTAATCGCACGCGGACCCAACACCGAGCAAAACTTCCCTTCCCCGTTCACATCTCTTTCGCGCGTGCACAGGGTGTTTTCTTAATTTTTCTTCGACCAATACTTCTTCGATAAACGAAGAGAAGAAAAGAATTGTATGCAATGATTCTTATCGATGATATTTCCATTTCATCGTCGACTTTCTCCAATCTTCTTTTCTTTTTTCTTTTTTTTCCGAGTCGAGACTATTCTCGAGACGCGATCGAGTCGTGTCGTCCACAGAAATGAAAAAAATACGTAACATTTTTCTCTTACTTTCACTCGTAGATATCGTGGTTCCAACAAGTTCGTACAAGAAAGTATAAAACACTCTGTACACGTGTGTTTCGTCACACCTGTTTCCACACGGATATCAATATTACTTACGATCCTCATGATCCGACGTATAAATCCGACGAAAGAATCGAGACGATCGAACCACGCGACGATGGACAGTTCTCTCGAAAGCCGCGCGGTGAAGAGAACTAATAAAGCAGTTGCGAGTTAAGCAGCTCGTGGCAGCTGCACAGGCACGATGATGCGTGTTCACCAGGTCCCTCCGCCACGTTCTCGTTACACCGTTGGCTGAACAACAGGTATGTCTCTCCCTCCTATCTGTCGTAAGCTCTGCTGAAGCTAGGACTCGCGGGCCTAGGCAGAGGAAACGGTGGCGATAAAAGGTGGATCGTAGGTGTATACCGCGCGCTTGCCGTACCGGCAACGTTTGACGCGAGGTGGGGAGTGTTCCTGAGACTTATATGTCGCCGCTGGAGGCCACCGTCCCTCTTGATCCATGCCCCCTCTGGACCGAACCCCCTCTGGACGGGCCCTTGACGATGGTCAAGGTGACCCGCGCCTCGAGGCGACCGATCGCTTCGGGGAAATCGGCGCGATGCCTCCTCCACCACCGAGTACGCGAGTCAGATTCGCCGCTTCTCGCCGTTATCTCTTCCGATCGTGAGATCGAGGAACCGTCTCTTTCGATTTCTCGTTTCCGAGTTTCAAGTAATCAACGCGTTTTACTACTGTTTTCTACGCTTTTACTTTTACTCAAGTATTATCGAAACATCGTTGGGATTATCAATCAATCGTCGTCGCACGATTTTGAATAATGCAAGGGCTGTACTTTAATGTAGAAAAATGAGAAAGAACCGTGGTATGGTGTTGATTGTTTATCGGAGAAACGATAGTTCTGTTCTATACACTCCAATTTTGGAATATTATTGGAAAATTATCGAAATGGAAAAGTAAGTTTGAATATTGGTATTGAGTGCAGAAGGGAAATCGTTCTTGAAAAAATATTCTCTTGAAACTGCATTTTCATTCAAATCTCCATCGATTTAACCGCGCGATGCTAAGCATCACGGAGAAAAAAAAGAAAAAAAAACCACTACTCGAGGGCACGCGATTTCCATTGCAAAATCGAATTACCGTTGATTACCCATGCCATCTTAATTAAAGCATCGAGACATATCCTGATGACGATTCCGCACGATTACAACGTATCGCGATCGGAATCCGGATTCAAGTGCGGACTTAATGACGTCAAGCACGGTTGCAAGAACCGCACGATCACGTTTGAGCCGTGATCTTATCGCGTCTAACGTCACCCTGGCCAAAATTAATACACGAGCAAAAACGAACGAAACTCTTCGTTCTTCGATGCCATTTTCTCGGTCTAGACGGGTCGATTTATCGCGACGTCTTCTTCAACGCGGTTCGTCACGTTGAAAAAAAAAAAAAAAAGAAGAAGCGCCAGAGATTCGCGCTGGCGCGACGATCCTCGTGATAAAAGCGAAGAATAGAGACCTCTTGAATGGGAAATCTGTCTTTTCTTTTCTTCTCTCCATCGTCTGGGATTTGAGAGAATATTCAGAGAAAAAAAAAAAAGAAGAAGAAGCGCCAGAGATTCGCGCTGACGCGACGATCCTCGTGATAAAAGTGAAGAATAGAGACCTCTTGAATGGGAAATCTGTCTTTTCTTTTCTTCTCTCCATCGTCTGGGATTTGAGAGAATATTCAGAGAAAAAAAAAAAAAGAAGAAGAAAAAATCGTGTTTTGATACGATGTCTGAAGAGACACTGTCCCATTGTAGAGAAGAATCTTTCATATTTTGTAAAATAAACGATGAGACGAATAATCGCTCTAGAAATTAATTCGATGCCTTTTTAAAATAAAATTATTATTTATTTAACAAGCAGTATTGTATTCTTTAAGGTATTATTTTCGCGATTTTATCCTATCTCGACAACATTGAGACAATTTTTGAAAAAACAAATGTGATGGTTCTAAATTAAATCATTTATATTTCTTTGAATCTCTTCTAATTTCTAAAAGTATATACTCTATGAATATAATGTCGGAACTCGAATGGATGACAATCAAATAAATCCAAGAATAGAGAATAATAATGTAGAAGAATTTATCCAAAGAACAAACGATATTTTCATCGATCTTACTATTTTTAAAATTTTACGAATCACCCGATATTAGTATTCGCGTTGACGAAACAATAATTCCAATATACTACTCCAATTATATTTCACGATATAAAATTTCTAAGCTCAAAAATCTTTCCTCGATTTACACAAAAAGATATTTAAATGCGAAACAAATACAATTTCATTTCGCAATTTTCGTACGAAACGAAAGATCATCGTCCAAGATTCTTCGGTATCTCGAATTACCACAGCTTTTATCAAACAAACGAGCAAGAAGGAGGCAATTAGTCTCGAGCTCGCAAACAAGTTCCCAAGAAGTTCGCAATAATTTCCGGCGATAAATCTCGGGCGGGGGAATAAATCGGTGTCATCCGTGGCCGATTATCGCGGGATTCCACACGTAAGAAGCCATTTCGCTTCTTTCTCGCGTGTAACCACTTCGAGGCCGAGCGTTCTGCGCGCGTGTCTCCGCGTGGAAATTCAATGGTGGATTCAAGGGAATCCAATTCTCTTTTTTTTTTTTTTTCTTTTTTTTTTTTTTTCTTTTTTTTTTTTTTTCTTTTTTCTTTTTTTCATCGAGGCCGAATTTGAGGATCGATCCTCGTCCTTTCATGCCTCGCGGCAACTCGAGGAAGGAATTGTCTCTTCGTGAAAGCGGGAAAGGATAAAGCAAGATTGAAATGGAACAAGGTTCCTGTTCCATTCGGTTACATCGATTTACCGATATTGAAAAAAAAATAACGATCCATAATGATCCGATTAAAGCAAGATTGCTGTTATTATATCGCGTTATTATATAAGCAATGACTAACTGTAGTTGCGAGTAGCAAGGATATCTTAGCAAGATTTATCTTATTGTAAAAATTATCTCTTTATCTAAATTTCTATGATTTATGTGTTCGTTATTAAAAGAGGAATTTTTTTATTATTTTGTTACGATCTTTAGACAATTCTTTAATTTCAAACAAATTTTTTTGTCTTTCTTAACTGTTAATTATTAATTTTGTTTAGTATCAATACGTATGTACGTATGGTTTGCTATTTGAAAAATTTTCTTGATAATATAGATGACGTTGATTTAAAAGAATAAATGATTTAGTATATTAAATACCAACAATTAAATACCAATAATATTTACCATTAAATTAAATTTTTTTGCTAGTTAAGAAGTATAATTAAGGAAATATAAATTACAATAGAATAATCACTTTGAAATATTTGAATTACGATGCGAATAATCACGAGTAATTATGAGTAATTAGAATGCTCGTATGATTCTTACAATAATGTAAGAATTATATAAGTCAATTCCTAGAAGAATGATTTTATTATTCAAAAATTTAAGTCTCATTCGTCGTCCATATTCTGGCTAAAATTCCAACAAGGGTTAATAAACGAACGTACTACGTGCCGCAGATCGCGCGGATGGTTTCTTGACCTTCGTCAAAAATGGAATTGCCGACCTTAACCCGATAATTAGATTGCAACTTTCAGCCGCAAGGAAGTGAACAGTGCTTTCCAACATCACGGACACTGTTAATCCTTGAATGATCACGATATCTCCTAAAAATCGGTCCACCCATCGTTCGAGATCAAATCGCACCGTGAATCGTTCCATATGAGATTTTCAAGATTAATTCCTTCTTTCTCGTTTGTTTGATAAAAGCTGATTTACATCCTGATTTAGATCAAAAATTCTCGCTCAAATTCTTCTTTTTAATTTCTAACGACACTCGTTTCTCTCGATGAAACGATCCGAGAAAGATATAATTCTCGAGGAGATCAATCTTGCAGAAGAAAGAATTCTTCTTTGCGATAATTATTTTGTAATTGTGATTATATTTCTTCAAAACTGTAATGGAATCTTACGACTTGGAAGGAAACGTTGTTTATTCTTATATAAGGAATCTAGATCGAGGAATCACGTGCGTATTTTAATCTTCGAAACCTGTTCTCGATAATTTACAAGCATACCGTTCGCTCTTTCCACGATTCACTGTGTTCCCTCCCCGTCTGCATACAGATTTGTAAACTCGTTTTCGATTAAGTGGCCAAAGTTTTCTGACACAAACGATCGTTTTTTCTTTTTGCCTCGTTAATCAATCGCCTCGAAATGAAATAAATTATTTAATCGCGACGTTGTTCTCGCGTTTGAAGATTTTTACCCTCGAACCCTTTCATTACGTTCAATCAATATTATCACTCTCTGTTTGTCAGCGTCAGAAGAATGCGTTCGAAGAGCAATTACCGTTCTCAACTTGATCGAGTTATTTTGATTACACGTTATTACATATATATACGTATATATAACGTGTAATATCGCGCAAAATTGAAAGTCGATTGTGGAAGAAATTACTCGTGACCGTTTCACACTGCGCGACCTTTTCCACGAAACACGTGCCACTTATCGGAAACGTGTAATCAAAACTGTATTACGTGACTCATTGTATAATATAAATCGGTACGATTATGTTATTTTTTCGACGATTGTTATATATTGATACGCGTCGTGAGCATTGTTCGATCCTTGATGGATCTAAATAGCTACCGTCCTTCGTTACATTTTCAATAATCGTTTCGTTTTCTCGTTTATTATAAACCGGCTTATTCGAGAGAACGGAGATACACCGGGAACGAGAGAGATCGAGCAAAAGGGAGAGGGGAGAAAAAAAAAAAAAAAGAAGAAGAAAAAATGAGGGAACGAAGGCCAAAGTGGAGGAACGACGATGGATCGTGCAATTAGCAGAGAGATATATCGTCGTAAAATTGGAAAATTAATTGTCCAGTCGCTAAGGATTCTTATGAAAGTCTAACGAGGGTTTAGTCATTGGATTAGCGAGAAAAATGAACCGGTACAGTGCAGATGTTACGACTCTTCGTGGCCTTAATTAATGCCCTGCCGATCCTCGATCTTCGCGTTCGATTCGCGCGTGCCACACGACATCGTTCGTATCGATGATTGAATCATCGCGATGGGTTCGCGAGAAACCATATATCGACTGGGAAATTTCGTCATTCGAATAGAAAAGTGACTTATTTTGTAATCATCTGGCTATAATCGAGTGACTTGCGTGACTATGTTTTAATTCAAGAAAAAAGAAAAAAAGAAAGAAGGAAAATTGAACCGACCGAAGTTTACTTGTTCACGATTGAGAAGTGTGTTGGAATAGCAGTAGCGTCGAATCGACAAATCGGACTTTGCATTTCTTCCATTAAGATTTCTTGCATATACAAGGTCTTATATAATTAACCTTTCTGTTGAGCAATCTGAGAGGTATTCTATTTATATTCCAGAACTGTTTCTATTTATATTCGACTTTTACTTATCGCGACAGATCGAAAGGTTCGATCGCGATTCAAAATGATATCGATAGGAACGGATGTTTAAACGGTGGTTGTCCTCGACTGATTCACGTTGGAACACGCTATCATTG